TGGTGTTTCATCCTCATGTATATTTCAGTTGCCCTAACAATCTGTTAACATTTCTGCGTTCTCCACTTGAGTATAAGTCCTAAGAATTCCCATATACTCTTGGCGTGTTGTACAAAGTCTGACATAGGCAGATGCTTAACATATGTTTGAATCAATGAGTGAGTAAATGAATGAATGAATGAATCCCCTGACAACTGCAGGTTCCTAGGAGGGGTGGGAAGGTTCAGGACAGCCTAGAGGAGATCTGTCCCTGGGAAGGCGTAACACCTGGGAATGTTTGCAGGGAGCCTGACCGTGCAGGGGGAGGGGCAGGGACCAGAGGCCTGATGGACATCCAAAGCTGTTTCTGCCCCAAGATGTTCCCACCTGTCCTTTAGCCTTTCTCTCTAAACCTGTTTGGCCTCAACACTGCTTGAAAGGTCATTCATCCCACTGCTGCTCACCCCAGGGTGCACTGTGCCAGCGTTGCCTTGTGAGCAGCTGCCTGAACATAACATCTCCGTCCTGAACAGCTGCCCTTGAAACTTGACTTGGAGCTTGGCTTGACTCTCCGGTCAGCTCATTCTGTCCTGTGGCTCGTGGGTTCCATTCAGGAAACTCACAGCCTCCCCTGAGACCCTCAAGTGGAGTTTCACTTTTGCCTTTTGGCTTTTATTTGAAGTCCAGCCTTTCTGAATAGTTTGTCCAAATTTATTGATAATCAGTCCAGCTCTTTGGGCAAGATGCTGTAAGAGTGAACTCTGAGGTATTAGAAAAAAATTGGTCCTTGATCTGGTTCCTGGCACAGAGCTCCTAAAACCCTTGTAATTCCCGAAGCGTTTAGAGCACTAAGAGCATCTTCTGTTCTAATAGTCAGTCTTTGACCTGGTTCCTGGCACAGAGCTCCTGAATTTCTCTTGGGATTTCCCAGATGATAGCAGTGCTTTTTGTTCTAACGAGGTGACTCTTTGTGGCCTGCTGGGTGGGGGAAAATGAGAAAGACCAAACCACCGTTTGGAAGCTTGGAATTTTTAGCCTCCATACCCATTCTCTAGAGAGGGGAGAAGGGCTGGAAATGGAGTTAATGATTGATTATGCCTATGTAATAAAGCCTATATAAAAATCCCGCAAGTATGGGGCTTGGGGAGCTTCATGGAGGTGCTGGGAGAGTGGTGGGTCCGGGGAGGGTGTGGAAGCTCTGTGCCCCTTTCCCCATGCTGTGTCCTACGCATCTCTCCACCTGGGTGTCCATCTGTACCCTTTACCATACATACCCTTTTATAATAAACTGGCAAATAATAAGGAAATTTCCCGTGAGCTGCTCTAACACATTAATCGAATCTGAGGAGTGGGTGGTGGGAACCTCCGATCTATAGCCGATTGGACAGAAGCCCAAATGACAACCTGGACTTGCGATTGGCATCTGAATTTGGGGAGGGGGGCAGTCTTGTGGGCCTGAGCCCTTCACCTGTGGGATTTGATGTTGTTTCTAGATAAATAGTGTCAGAATTAAGCTAAATTGTAGAACACCCACCTGGTGTGGCAGAAAACTGCTTAGTGGGGAGCCCCCCACCCCAACCTCTGGTGTTGGAAGCGTTGAGTGTGCTAGTGGTAGGAGAGTACAGGAGAAACACAGGGTGGGAGCAAGTTTTTCCTTCTTCCACAACACAGGCAGAAAGTTCACCTATTTGGATGGATCATCCAGTTTTCTGTCACTATTTCAGTCTGGATTTTATCCTTTAGTTTTCTCGCTCTTTTGTTGTCTCCTCTCTTAGTGTCTTTCAATTGTATTTAATCAGCGTTTGCCACTTCGGCTGAAGTTTTCTCTCTCTCCGTGTCTGTAGCACAGTTTATTCCCTCAAAGTTAGCCTTCTGGCCTCTCATCTTAGCCCACCAGGGAGGCCAATTCCAATGGGCTAGGAGTCCACCAGACTTGGGTTTGAATCCTGGCTCTGCCACTTATTAGCTGAGTAATTTAGAGCAAATGACTTAACTATTCTACTCTTCTACTTCCCTATCTGCAAAAAGAGTATGACTGTCTACCTGGCTGGTTGTTCCAAGGATGAATTGGAAAGCATTTAACACATTACAAGGCATATAATAAGCTACATGAATTAATAAAAGCAAACCATTTTTATGGTCAACTTTCATTTTGAAGCCATATGTGTTTGGGATGAGACCATCCTGAGAGCAAGTATTTCCAAGCCACCTTTGTTAAATCTGTGCCCATTGTGCAAAGCAGCTCAGTGTATAGGTATCATTCCTTTTGACAGAAGTCTCCTTCCTTCACTTCTTCTTTAGGCATTTTTTCTTCTTCCTGTTGCCAGTTTGGCCCCGGGCACACTGTTGTTTCTGCCTTGATTTGCCAGGGGTGGGTCCAAGGCTGGACGCAGCCACACAAAATCCTCTCTCGTTGACTTGTCCAAACTTACATGACATCAAAAGCCCTTGCAATCCTCCCATCACAACATGCTCTACTATTTTTTAAAACAAACATCGAAAAATAAAAACAGGATTAACACAGCAAGTGTTTTTCATTCCAGTCTGTTGTATTTTAAATTAAAGGGCTTTTGTAGGAATTCAGATCTTGCATTTCCTTGGTAGACCATTTGGAAAGATGGGGATGAACTTTGGTTCCCATCTTGAATCTGAATGTAAGCTATTTCTTTCTTGCATATGTATCTACCTTTTTCTTTTTTCCTCATTTCTTTTCCTCCATCTTAATCTTGTGCTAGTGCTGGTTATCTCCCTTCTTAAAGCAGTTTTTACATCTATGATATCATCTGATTGTTAATCAACCTCTTTGACATAAAAAGCTATGGAGGAAGATTTAGGTAGATGAGTAGAGAATACCAAAGCTGGAAGGGCAGAGGGGTCATCTAATTTAGCGGTTCTCAAATTGTGTTCCTTTCAGCCTTAGATGTCCATGGAGGTCCACAGGAACTTTACAGGGAAAAGAGGCATCACCTTGAGTGTGAGAGAGCCTCAAACTATTCAGTCACAGCATCTTAGCTTCATCGATTTTACACATGAGTGTTCAAAATATGAAAAACTTTTTAAGAGGTTCAACTTAAAAAAAAAAAAAAGAAAAAGGAAAATCACAGATATGGCTTACTGCTTGCATGTCCCAGGTGAGGGAACTGAGACCCAAAGAGGAAGTGACTGTCTCTGGGTTACCAGCAGCTCCTTAGGGGATGCGCTGGAACTAGAGACCTCAAGGGTTTTTATGTATCTCAACATTGGTATAATCCAGATATTACTATTTTGTCTATTTTAAAAAGGAAACATCTGAGGCAGTACGTTGTGAGCAGTTCTCAGCCAGCTGTGTTGGAAAGGAGGCTACTTGCACTGTTCTATTTTGCTGCTTAATGCGGAAGAGGTATGCACAAGGGTTGTGAAATTGAGGAAAAGATTGTTTTCATGTCAGTTTTGCTAAAATGTCCCTTTTTGCTTTATACTGGAAATGCCCATCAGCCCAGACCCCAGATATCGGATAAACTCACTATGGTCAACATAGACCAGACTAGTCTTCAGCTTCTTGTAAATCATCCCAGGACCCCAGGGGGCGTGGCCACAGTGTGCTGGCAGAAATGTGGGTACCAGCCGTTCAAAGCTCAGAATTGCACCTAAAGAGGGATTCCTGAGTTCTGTTCTCTAGCAACCCCTTGGGTTTCTGCCCCTTCAGCTGCATTCTTGGCCAACGGTTCCTGGTCTTTCTGGATACCACTTTTTGAGAAAAAGTTTGAAGTGACTTTGGGGGCTGACATGGAATTACCAGTATTTTCTTTATTTTCTAATATCAGCTAACATCTATCATAAAAATTATCTGAATACCAAAAATGTAGGAAAGACGTAACTTAAGAAAGGAGAGCTCCTCCCAGGAAAGGACCCTTTGGCATTGGTATGCTAATGATTCTGTCCCCTGGTGGGGGATCAGTACTGACCTCACCCCAGCCCTGCCCTGATTGGGTTCTAGGCCACTGGCTTCTTGGTTTCTACAGCTGCTGCAGCGAGACAGAGAGCAGCGTGGTACCATCAGACATACTGACTGACTAGCCAACCACCAAGAGAGAAGTTCAGTCTCACTCCGAGGGAAGTAAACTAAGATGGGGGACGTCCTCATCCAGCCTTGCTTCCTACTGGCCTTTACAGTGTCCCAGTGAGGCAGGGGCAGGCCACAGCAGTTATATCCACTTACCACATTAAAAAGGAAGTGTACTTTTCCATTTAAGACAGCTTAACTCTGGACATTTCCCAAGCAGATAGCACCAGAGCAAGGACAGCAATGACACCAGGAGCTGGATGGGAGCCAGGCCCCTGGTGGTGACAGCCAGCTAGTGAATGGATGTACTACAGACCGTATCTGGCCTGGGTGAAAAATGGGATATATTTTCTAATCCAATATTTTCATGTTAAATGTTTAGATAATACATTTATAGAAATTAGAATACAACTTTGAGGATGATGCTCTCTTTGGCAAAGTATAAATAAGTCATTTTATTAGTAAAGCTAAAAAATGCCCATCAGTGGAACTTAGAGAAACTATGTGGGGGCATCAGAAAAGGAATCGCTTTGGAATTGGAAGACTGGGACTCGACAGGCCTGCAACTTCTGGACTGTGGACAGTCACTTAGACACATGTCGTTCATTGCCAAAAGCACGGGCTTCTGAAGGCACATCAACCCGGGCTTGAATACTGGCTTTTGCATGCCATCTTACCTCTCAGACCCTCTGTTTCCTTATTTCTCACATGGACAGTAGGACTGCCTGACCATGGCGGGCCTTCTACACATTACTCTGCAGTGTACAGACAGAACAGGGATGAAGAAAGCTTCCATTCATCACCAAACAGGAAGAGTTCGGATCTGTGGAGGTCTTTACCGTGGCCAAGACTGACACTGGGGTCTGCACCTCTGCGTTTCCTGCTCCATCCCTTGATACACTTGAGCAGGGCCCCCCACATGTGAAGGTACACAGCCCACCCCACATCTACAGTCTTTTGTCAGTGAGCCATGAACAAATCATACACAGAGAGAAGCTCCTTTTTTTCCCTTCAATTTAATTGAAGTTACTTAGAAAAATAATCAGGCTTGAATGGCTTTTCCTGGAGGAAGGCTCATGGACATGTCTTGCTTCTGTTGACGACGTGGAATTCAGCTTTCCTGAACAGTACAGTAAGATACAGGGAGAGTTTTCTAAAACAAGCCCTCTACTGCTTACAAATATATATATAAAAAAAACAACCAAAAATCACACTCCACAAAGATGTCAAATTATATGTCCATATGCCATACACAGCATGCTCATAAGAAAATAGTACGGGCAGCCCCTTTTGTATCTAGCAAAGAGTAACAGACTGAAATTCCCCTGTGAATGGCCAACGGTCAAGCTGGATATAGAAGGTCCTATTGCCTGTTCATAGGGTCCAGTTGGCCATGATGGGAAAGGGGTGGAGGAAATGCTGGTTGCGGGAACTTGGGGAAGCAATGGGTCAGTCCTGCTGACATAGGAGCTGGCGAGGAAGGATTCTGGTCACCACGATCGCACAGAATGGGCCATCTTAGATTGTGTGTGTGTGTGTGTATGTGTAGAGGAGGACCAGGCTGAAAGAGATGCTCTGAGCACCACCCACCAGGACAGAGTCCCTAAGCTTCTTGCCACGTTAGAGCAGGGACCTCCCTAATTGCTACCTCAACACTGGTCCAGACCCTACAAGCTACAGGGGCCAGGGACTTGCTTTTGTTCTGGGATCTTTCTACCAGTAGGGGTAAGACCCCTGTGCTTCCATGCCTTTGCCACCAGGGGGACTGGTCCGACTGAAGTGTCCACTGCCCACCGCTCTCTTGTGGCATCCAGATCCTGAACAAGCAGGACGGAGAAGCCCACCTACTAGACAGGTGAAAAGGAAAGTCCCCTCTGAGACACACAGGTCAGCAGACTCCCTTCTTCCCAGACCAGCTGGGGAGTCAAAGTGGGGGAGAGAGTCTGGAGAAGCTGCAGGAATTCAAATCCTGTGGCTAATATTCTAGCGTTTTACCAACCAAAGGGGAAGGGTCAAGCAGGAATGTCCTTGTCAATACTCCCCTAACTGTACCTGGTTTTGAAAACACAGCAGCACCTCTGAAAAGCGGCTTAGAGATGGGACATCTGCCTGTACTTTTCTCCAGCTAAGCATGCAATAGAAAGCATTTGCAAACAGTTCTCTTAAAACAAAATGAAACATGAACTTTTGTTTCCCAGGCACATTTTTACCCATGGATTCTTTTAAACCAAGGACACAGAATAGTTTCTACATTCTGCATAAGCACTTGAATCAAATAATTTTTTTTAAAGTTTTTATGCCCTTAGAAAGTAAAATGGGAATGCAAACCATGAGAAAGGGTCCCTCACTGAAGAACCGGACTATGGGTCATGCCCTGAAGGACAGTTCTTCTCACTTGAGAGAGAGAAGACAGATGAAAGGCGGAGATCTGCACCCAGCCCTGAGCAAGCTTGAACAACTGATTAAACATGGAAGTGGAAACCCAAAACTCCAGAAACCTATGTGAATTTCCATTTAAAACCAAAAAGCGCATAGTGAACTATTCCAAACCATGGAGCAGAAGCAGCAGCCATGAGGGGTTGGGCTCCCTCTGCTTGTATTGAGCCACCTGAAACCCGAGGAGTACAGGGACCGCTAGGTGGCCTTACGCCCCACTGTCTCCCCTCTCCCTCTGTCGACACCACCTCCTTGGGGAGGGATGGAGTCATTGCACGTGACAGTATCCAGGATTAGAACCATTGCACTTAGGTGAAAAGTGAAGTAATTTGATAAAGTAGCTCTGTTGCTATAAACCAGATGGAGATGGTGGTGCTGGTTTTTTTGTTTTGTTTTTTTTTGGAGAGGGGTTGGGGAGCAATTTTTATCCTTAAAGACCTCGGATGTGCTAAATCAACCCAGCGAAAGTTATACTCCACAAAATACTACCTCTGTGAGATGACCTGCAAAATAGAATATCCTGGTCATGTAAGTTCAGGAAATACTAGCAACTCAGTGTTCTTGGGGATTCACAATATACAGCATGTGTTCAAGGCTCTGAAAAGTCCTGCAGAAAGGAAACTGATTTAACCTTGTTCCCAAGGATATCTGACCATAACACCCTTTTCTTGCATCACACCAACCTGATGTCACCTAGAACCTTTGTTCTGTGGCGCACCTATCAGGAAATTGTGGACAGCCTGTCTCACTAGCAGAAGCCCTATTTCTGAGGACAGTGTCCCCTGCCAGGTAATAGAGTCCAGACTCCCAATTCCAGGGACAGCTGAGGTCTGTCACTCGGTGAAATACATGGCATAAATCTCCACCATCAAGGGTATAATTGCCATGCCCCTCACGAAGGGGAAGGAGCTTGGAAGAAAGTACACAACATTTTATAAATAGCTTTGGCCACCCTCTCCAGTACACACCTCCCTCACATTCAGTAACGTAATTTCCTCAGTGAAATGCGGCAGCTACTATTCACTCAGCTGGCTGTGAGCTTTACAAAACAATTCTAATAGTTACTGTGAATAAATTATTCATTTTTTTGTTTGTTTAGAATAGTCTTCTCACCCCTTTGCTATATATTGCATCAGAAACAAAAAACAAAACTTACCCACACCCCACCCACCCCATTATTGGAACTATTATTATATACAGTATCTGCTACCAACTCATTCACTAGCTGTAAGAGGGATGTGGCTCACACTTTAACCAAGGTATCAGAAATGGCTGGAAATGAGAAGCATGTGCAGGTGTTAATTAGCAAGGAACAGGAAATGGGAGATTTCCAGCCTTCCAGAGGAAAGGGGGCACGGATTACCATCATGGAAGGCTGCCCTTGCTGCTCATGCATGGTGGTTGCAAAGGTACTGATGGTTGCACAGGTGCCTCAGGAGGACTTAGGAAGGATATGCATGTGCATCTGTGTACAAACAGTCCACCTCTGACTTTCATGAGGGGTAGAAATGCCAGATCACTGCACATCCCCGAATGGATGAGGGAGTCCTGCCCATAGCATTTCACTGGCTTACACGGCAGAGTGTCTACACATGGCAGAAATCAACACTTCTACAAGCAGACACGGATTCTGGGCTGGAGCTGGAGATGATAGGAGGAGGTACTTGGTGAATACGCCCCCTCTGCCTCACCCAAGGCTGACATCACTAATCAGTCACAGCGCTGTTCCACGCTGGGCCTGGCAAATCTGTTCTGACACTTAAAGCAGACACTACCAGGACTTTGGGGTGGGCACACGGTAGGAAATGTTTTTGTCATCTCTTGTGCTGGGCAGTGAGCCTGGATTCCTCACCAAGTGAAGTGGTCTGCTCCAAGCATGTGGTTTTCAAATTTGGGCCATCAGAAAATGCCAATCTGTAGGGGTCATGGACCTGGGGCTGTTCAGGAATAGTCCAAACCTCATGTTCAGCTCAGGAATATCAGGGGTTTGCTAACTGTCGAGCTGGATACTTTGTGACCATGTAAAACTTCTTGAGGGCTGAGACTATTGGTTTTGCTCAATGCTTTATCTGTATGGCCTAAATTGAGGCTTAGCATAAGAGTTGATCAATAAATACTTGTTGAACAGATCAACAGCCACTTTACCTTCATCACAACTGGCACTGCCAGTTAAAACTTTCTGTAGGAAAGCCTATTCTATCAGACTGCTGATTCTGGTGGAATCCCCCACAACCCCCACCCCCACCCCCAAAAAATTACCATCAGCTCTCTCCTTGGGATAAAAATCACATTTCTTCAGTGCAAGGGACTTTGGGTTGATCGACATTGGTTTGGAATCAGTCCCTTGGAAAGGTGCCTCCTTCTGTTTCTAGCAGAATTTCAAGAATGGTGACATCACTAGACTTCGCAGTGGTTACCAGCACGCAGCGACTCCGTGAGATGTTAGGAAGGAGAACACTTGGGCCCCCAGGTGAGCTGTAGCAAGCACAGAATGAAACGTCAGTTTCTTCTGCAAAGCCATGAGAATATTGCTGCCACAGAAAGAGATCTATACAGAGACCATGTTTAAATAACTATAAATAATATTAATTAAAATTTTTGGGATGCACAATTCATGGAATTCACCAGAACACAAGGAAACCTTTGAGACAGTGTTGCAGTGTTTATGTCTAAAAACAAGGACACCCATCCTATTCCCCTGCAAAGACAACCGTCCTTCCCTATTAAGGAGTTTAAATAATTCTCACTATGCTGCTCGCAGCATCATCCCCAAAGAAATATTAATTTACAAAATAACCCAGTATCCATATAATTCTTTTGACAAATAAAAATCTTAAATTAAAAAGCATGATTCTCTCCCTCTCCCCACCCCTTTATTCCAATTTCAGGTAGCTTGGCACTGAATAATTGAACATTAAAAAATCAAGTTTGTAGACTTCGTACAGCTGCGTTTGGTGCTCTGAGCTGATGTTCTGGAAGAACTCTGTGGTCATTTCATCAGTAGTTCTCGTAGACTTGGCATAGGTGGGGAACTTCAGGTAGCTGCCCACTCCTGCCAGCTGCAGGACGTAATTAGAATCCTCTTCCAGCGTCTCGTACTTGCCCACGAGGTCATAATGGATGTGGCACGGGTGGCAGAGGGAGTAGACGGTTTGCCAGTGTTCGTTGAAGGGCTCCTCACGCTGGGTGTGTGGATCGATGAGATAAGCCACAAACTCCTCGAACTTGACGTCGTCCCCTTTGCGCAGGGCCTCCTGGGTGGCGTTCTTTCGCTGCCGCTTGACGATCTTGGTGCCGTATCGCTTATGGAAGGAGGTGTTGTACTTCTGGGTGAACTTGTTGCGGTAGGCTGACACCAGCCTCTCGAAGGGCTCCCGGACGAACAGGAACTTCATGTAGCTTTTCAAGCGGTGGTTGATTTCTGGGATGCTGTACTGGTTCAGGGTCTTCAGGTTGGCCGAGACGTGCGCCTCGTTGGCCGGGATCTCCATGGGGTCGCTGTACTTCCCCCGGCCAGTCAGGACCATCATGAGCCGCTTCCAGTTGGTGCACGCCACCTTGGGCACGTAACAGTAGATGAGCTCGTGGTCCTCATCCACCACCAGGTGCTTCAGGTCGTTGGGGGTCAGCACCCTCCGCTTGCGGCTCATGGCGCTGTTGGCCCGGCACGTGTCTGTGACCTGGTCCCGCCTCATCTGGTGCAGGACGGCCGTGCTCGAGAGCTCCAGCTGCAGAGGGGATACAAGAGCAATCAGAATCAGTATTTACATTGGGTGTTTCCACCTGGCCATATCCACAACCATGACGGCCACTGCAGGCCACCATGGCAGCCGGCTGCAGCCTAAATGGTCTGTCTCCATTTCTAATTCTCTATCGGCTGTCTTGAGCGCTTCTGTTCTTTGTTCCACCATACTTCCTTTGTAGAGTAGTAGTAATGATTAACTCTGTAAGGCAGCCATCACCCTGTCCATGCACCCTCTAAATGCATCTACATCCCCCTCTCCATGCACCCTTTGCATTTTACTAGAGCTTCATATATGCTGTTTTTCTTCTCTTTGTCCAACAACCTTGAAATGCCATTGATTCATTTAACAACACCAAGAACCTGCCAGTGTGCCAGGTAACATGCTCCCAGGCACTGGGGATATAATTGTAAAAAAGTACAAGAGGTAATGCCCTCATGGAGATTCTAGTCTTGCTGGAAAGTGGGAACTGAGGCTCAGAGAAGTTAAGTCACTAGCTTGAGATCCCACAGTAAGAGTCAGAGCCAGTATTCACTGAGGTATGCTTGGCAATCAAAGCTGGCCACTTTCCACTCTACCCTGATGCCCAGTGCTCCCAGCAGGAAGAATGCACGGGGAGCTGCACCTGATTCATCTATTTTAAAGCAAGGGGACCCAATTTTCTTTCAAGTCCATCATTGTGGATGTCTGTTGCTTTTTTGCTTCCTCTGGTACCAATGCCTCAGTTTCCCTCTGTTCCCAATCCCCTTTCCTCCCGAGCTGCTGAGCTGTGAGAATGGCAGCCTGGAGTTTGGGGATGGGGAGGAGAGCTACCATGCAGGGAGAGCTGCCCCGAGAGACTGAAGGGTAGAGAGGAAGAATGAGCACAAAGGGAGGAATTCCCAGTGACATCACCTGAATGCCTACATCAGCACGTTGCTGAAACCAGATACCCAAGTCCTGGGGTTCTGTTACATTAATTAAAATATTTCTTTTGGGCATCAGGCATTTTGAGTCTGGATTCTATCACTTGGAACCAAAATATGGGGGTATTTGTATCTATTATGTTTGAGCTTTTCCTTTCTGCTGTGTTCACCCACTGAACCACCTGCTGACACATTCATACATGTATACAGATGTCACAGTGCACAAGGCACTCTGCTCAGGACCCTCGGGAAATACATCCTTTCCAAAAGGGCTCACGGTCTAGGAGGTACCAGGCCAGAGAGCTGGTGGCCTCAACAGGGGCCACAGAGAAGATGTGCATGCTCCTTTAGTTCTAGGAACAAAAATTTCCCCCCAGAGACCATTCACACTCAGTTGAACCAGTCCCCACACCCATTCTGAATAGGAAACTGGGGCCACACTGCTGTGGTGTGCCACCATCTCGGTCACCAGCCCCCAGAGACTCTCAGACCCTTATGGGGTAGTGGCCAACCTTTTGTTGGCTTAATGCCATGCCTCCCTCTAGCCTCCTGAGTCTGCAGTGTGGCTCTTCTTTTAAATATACAAGAAATTAATATTCATTATAGTTACATTATGAGCTTATCAAGCTTCTCTCTCCAGGCCAGCCTGTGGGTGGCCTTGACTACTGAGATTGCAGAGGGATCAGTGAAATCCTCCCGGCCACCTGGACAGCCAAGTCAGCAGAGCTGAGGGCCTGTGTGTGAGCCAAGAAGCTGGCCCTACATTTCCAACACAAATCACAGTCCGAATAATCCTAAAATGTACAAAGGCAACTGGATAAGCCTAGAGTAGGAAGCTGATGAGTTTACCAGGGACCTGCGGGGTACCCTTGTGGCCACTGCCCTTTGTTCTTTCTCAGATTGCTGCCATACTTGCACCCCACACTGACCTAAGTGTTCTTTCTCCCTATTGAACGTAAATACCACCAAGTGTGGACTTTTTCTTTCTATAGCTGTATCTTCAGTGGTTACAAAAGTGCCAACCACATAGCAGATGCTCAATAAATACATAGATGCCAGCATGAAGGAGTAAGGTAATAATCACTTTAGGGGAACTTGACATGAAAGTAGGAAGGCTCTTCTGTCATTAAAGAAATGTCCTAATTGTTCATAGATGCCAGAATATTTTTATTTTTTTTAATTTCAGTATCATTAATAGATAATCTTATATTGGTTTCAACTATACAAGACAGTGGTCCAACAGTTGCCCATATTAAGTCCTCACCCCCACTGGTACAGTTACTATCTGTCAACATAGGAAGATGTTACAGAATCACTGGCTATATTCTCCATGCTGTACTACCATCCCCATGACCAACTTATGTTATGATTGAGAATTTTTGTGCCTTTTTATCTCCCTCACTCACCCAACCCCTCCCCCATGATAACCACCAGTCTCTTCTCAGTGTGTATGAGTCTACTGCTATTTTGTTCATTTTGTTTTGTTGTATATTTAGATGCCACAAAAAAGTGAAATCATATGATATTTGTCTTTCTCCACCAGTTTGATTCACTTAGCGTAATACCCTCTAGGTCCAACCATGTTGTCATAAATGGTAGAATTTCTTTCTTTCTTATGGCTGAATAATATTTCACTGCATATATGTATCACCTCTTCTTTATTCATTCACCTATTGATGGACCCTTTGTTTGCTTCCAGATCTTTGTTATTGTAAATAATGCAGCAAAATACGTGAATAAAAGTGAATATATCTTTTTGAATCAGGGATTTTATTTCCTTTGGGTAAATTCCTAGAAGTGGAATTACTGGGCTGTATGGTATTTCTACTTTTAGCTTTTTGAGGAACCTCCATACTACTTTTCACAGTGGATGCACCAATTTATATTCCCACCAACACTGTCAGAGAATTCCCTTTCTCCACATCCACACCAACACTTATTTCCTGTCTTTTGGATAGTGGCCATTCTAACTGGTGTGAGATGGTATCTCACTGTGGTTTTGATTTGCATTTCCCTGATGATTAGTGATGTGGAGCATCTTTTCATGTGCCTGTTGGCCATCTGTATTTCTTCTTTGGAAAAATGTCTGCTTAGGTCTTCTGCCCACTTTTTAATAAATTCATTTGTTTTTTTGGTGTTGAGGTGTTTGAGTTCTTCATATATTTTGGATGTTAACCCCTTATCTGATAAGTCATTTATGAATAAATCCTCCCATACTGTAGGATGTCTTTTTGTTCTGCTGATGGTGTCCTTGGCTGTACAGAAGCTCCTCAGTTTGATATAGTCCCACTTGTTCAATTTGGATTTGGTTTCCCTTGCCCAAGGAGATATGTCCAGGAAAAAAATTGCTCATGCTTATGTTCCAGAGATTTTTGCCTATGTTTCCTTCCAAGAGTTTTATGGTTTCATGTCTTACATTTAGGTCTTTAATCTATTTCAAGTTTATTTCTTTATTTTGATATTGTTAATGTACAATTACTTGAACAACACTATGGTTACTAGACTCCCCCTATTATCATGTCCCTCCCATATACCCTATTACAGTCACTGTCCATGAGCACAGTAAGATGCTATAGAATCATTATTTGTCTTCTCTGTATATACTGACTTTCTCATGTCCCCCCACCCCCACTAATTATAATGCCCCTTTTTCTCCCTTATCCCCGCCTTTCCATCCATCCTCCCCAGTCCCTTTCCCTTTGGTAACTGTTAGTCCATTCTTGGGTTCTGTGAGTCTGCTGCTGTTTTGTTCCTTCAGTTTTTATTTCAAATTTATTTTTGTGTAGGAGTTAGACAGTAATCCATTTTCATTCTATTGCATGTAGCTGTCCAGTTTTGCCAACACCAGTTGTTGAAGAGACTGTTGTCTTTTCCCCACTGTATATCCCAGGCTCCTTTATCACATATTAATTGATCATATATGTGTGGGTTTATATCTGGGCTGTCTTCTGTTCCATTGACCTATGGGTCTATTCTTGTGCCCGTACCATGCTGTTTTGACTACTATGGCTTTGTAGAATAGCTTGAAGTCAGGTAGCCTAATCCCCCCAGCTTTGTTCTTTCTCAGGATTGCTTTGGCTCTTTGGAGTCTTTTGTGGTTCCATATGAATTTTAGAAGTATTTCCTCTAGTTCATTGAAGAATGCTGTTGGTATTTTGATAGGGATTTCATTGAATCTGTAAATTTCTTTGGGCAGGATGGCCATTTTGACAATATTAATTCTTCCTATCCATGAGCTTAGGATAGATTTCTACTTATTAATATTTTTGTTTTCATTTGTCTCCATGTATTGCTTGACTTCATTTTAATTTGTTCATTGATCCACTGATTATTCAGAAACATTTTGTTTAGCCTCCATCTGTTTGTAGGCTTTTTGTTTTCTTTGTGTAATTTATTTCTAGTTTCATACCATTGTGGTCTGAGAAGTTGCTCAACCTTTTTTAAATTTATTGAGGCTCCTTTTGTAGCCTAGTATGTGATATATTTTGGAGAATGTTCCATGTACACTTGAGAAATATGTGTATCCTGCTGCTTTTGGGTCGAATGCTGTAGATATCCACTAAGTCATTCTGATTTACTGTGCTGTTCAATGCCTCTGTTTCCTTACTTATTTTCTGTCTGGTTGATCTACTGATGTACGTGTTGTGTTAAAGTTTCCTAACATGAATGAGTTGCAATCCATTTCCCCCCTTAATTCTGTATTTGTTTTACATATTTAGGAGCTCCTACATTGGGTGCATTTTTATAATGGTTATATCCTCTTGTAGGACTGAACCCTTCATCATTGTGTAATATTTTCTTTGTCTCGTTTTACTTCCTTTGATTTGGAGTCTATTTTGCCTGATACAAATACTGCTACTCCTGCTTTTTTCTTGCTATTATATGCATGCAATATCTTTTTCCATCCTTTCACTTTTAGTCTATGTATGTCTTTGGGTCTGAAATGAATCTCTTGTACACAGCATATAGATGGGTCTTGTTTCTTTATCCGTTCTGCCACCCTATGTCTTTGATTGGTGTATTCAGTACATTTACATTTAATGTAGTTATTGGTAGGTATGTACTTATTGCCATTTTATT